AGCCACCCTTCAGAACCTGAGGAAGGTACCATCCATATCCTGCAGCTCCAGATCTCTGATGATCAGTGCCACAGTCACAGAATCATACATACTAACCAAGCAGGATCTGGAAATAGTCCCCTCTGTGTCCTGAACTCTAGGACTATGGCTTCTGCAATCACAAACTCCAATGTGATTGGCACTTGATTCTAAAAGAGCCTAAGGAAACACACCTTTGGATGCCCAAAACTACAGCAGAATCACAACACTACTTCCATGAACTGGTGAAGTCTAAACAGTTGTGGCACTTGTAGACACCACTAACATGACATGTAGCTGTAACATGGATTACAGTTGAAGAAATCACATGGAAGATCCACTTCTGGGCTTATCTAGAATGAAAGCCAAAGCAATGACCCAACTAACATCCCAAATCCCATCTAAACGTAAAAGTATTTTTCAGTGAAAGATACTCCATAAAGAAGAAGTAACTGTTACACATCAGACATTGGGCACAGAAACATAGGAACAACACAAGAAATATAAAGAAGCAAGAAAGCCAAAGCAAGGCAACTCCAGAGGATCAAAATATTTCTCCAGAAACAGATCATAACTTGATGGAACACTACAAAATACATGAAAAAGAATTCAAAGTAATGATCCTATGAAACTCAATGATATACAAGAGAATACAGACAATTCAAAGAAATGAGAAAGACATTGTGTGATATGAATAAGAAATTCAACAGAGATTATATAAAAAAGAACCAATCAGAAATCTTGCAGCTGTAAATGTCAATAAAAAAAATACAATTGAAGGTTTTACCAATAGAATAGACCAAGGAAAAGAAAGGATTTCTGGTCCTGAGGACAAATCCTTTGAAATACACCAGTCAGAAAAAAAAGAAAGAAAAACTTTTAAAGAATAAAAAAAATGACACATGGGGAAAAAAAATACCTCAGCCTCACATCACAAATAAAAACTTAACTTAAAATAAATCAAAACCTAAATGAAAGAGGTCAGAATAAATCAGTATAATCTATTATATCAATAGTTTATATATATAAGAAAAATTGTATGATCACACCAATTGACAAGGAAAAATCACGATAAAATCCAACACTCATGCATATCAAAAACTCTCAGAAAATTGGGAATAGAGAAGAGTTACTTCAGCCTATGAAAAAGCTTGTGAAAAACATCTACATATAAAACACCTATTGAAAGACTAAATGTTCTTTCCCTAAGATTGGATACAAAGCAAGAATGTTGGCTTTCATCACCCTTATTCAACACAACACTGGAAGTTCTAGGCATCACAATAAGTCAACAATAAACAAAAGTCATACTGATTAGGAGTGTTACAGAAGGTCAAGCTACTGCTTGGGACACTGTGGTCATCTGGGAAAATGAACCAATACATGGAAGATATTCTCACTCATTCTTTCCTCTCTCTCTCTCTCTCTCTCTCTCTCTGTCTCTCTCTCTCTCCCCCCTCCCTGTTCCCTTTCTCCCTTTTTCCTCCCTCCCGCTCTCTCTCTCTCCATAACTTTGATGTTTGTTCTTGCTTCCATCTTTAGCATAATTCACGTTGCTTTGATAGGGCTTCTTTTCAAACTGATATCTTATCCTTTTAGAATCTCAAACTAGATTCTGTTCAGACATGTAAGAGCAAGTTAGTATGAGTTTTGATGCAAAACATTTTGAAATCCATGTAGTTTTTGATAATACATATTTTCCAGGAACTTTCTGAAGACTCCTTGTAGATATAAAATCATATGGAATGATTTCTAGGATATATTTTTGCACAAAAAAACTTAGTTGAAAAGAATATACAGTATACTATTATTGTTATAAGAAAGTCAGGTAACAGAAAATACATATAAACCTTGTGATATTTTTAAAAAAATGAAATACAGGAAGGATAAAACAGAAATAGATAAAACTAATCACTTACAGAGTGGGACATAATAGGTTAGGAAGGCAATGACAACTTTTTAGTATAATAGCATTTATTTTTATTCTTTAAAAACTTTGTGAATGTCCTATATACTCAGAAATGCATATTAAATCAAACAATGACCAGGAAGGGCTGAGAATATAATGCATAGACAATACCAGATTTCAAGACATACTACAGTTATAATCAAACAACCTGGTACTGGCAACAAAATAGATGTGTAGACCAATGGAATAGAATAGAAATTCCAAAAATCAATCCACACATCTACAAATAACTAATCTTTGACAAAGGAACTAAAATCAATCAATGAAGCAAGCAGTCTCTTCAACAAATGGTGCTGGGAAAACTGGATCTCTGCATACTGAAGCATGAAGTAAGACTATTATTCTACACCTTACAAAAAAATCCATTCAAATGGATCAAAGCCCTAAATCTACAAACTGATACCATCAAATTACTAGAAAACTTTGGGGGAACTCTGCAAGACAATGGCATAGGAAAAGACTTCTTGGAAAAGAACCTGGAAGCACAGGCAATCAAAGAAAAAAATTGACAAATGGGATTACATCAAACAGAGAAGATTCTGCACTGCAAAAGGAAAAAAAAAACATTCAGCAAAGTAAAGAGACAACCAACAGAATGGGAGAAAGTATTTGCAAACTATAAAACTGATAAAGGATTAATATCCAGAATGTATAGAGCTCAAGAAACTCAACAACAACAAAACAAACAATCCAGTTAATAAAAAGGCAAAGGACTTGAACAGGCATTTTCAAAGGATGAAACTCAAATGGTCAACAGACACATGAAAAAATTACTCAGGATCATGAGCCATTAGTGAAATGCAAATTAAAACCACAATGAGATTTCACCTCACCCCAGTTAGAATGGCTCTCAAGGGGAAACCAACAAATGCTGGTGAGGATGTGGGGAAAAAGGTACCCTAATCCACTGTTGGTGGGAATGTAAACTGGAGCAGCCACTGTGGAAGACAGTATGGAGATACTTCAGAAATCTAAATATAGATCTACCATATGATCCTGCCATCCCACTCCTGGGAATTTACTCAAAGAAAATGAAATCAGCACATGAAAGAGTGATCTGTACCCCCTTATTTATTACAGTTCAATTCACAAGAGCTAAGAGATGGAATCAACCCAGATGTCCATCAACTGAAATTATATATGTGATAAAGAAATTATGGTATATATACATTATGGAGTACTACTCAGCTGTTAAAAAAGGAAATCCTGTCTTTTGCAACAAAATGGATGCAACAGGAAACCAATATACTTAGTGAAATAAACCAGTCCCCAAATGACAGATATTGTAATGTTTTCCCTAATCAGCGGTAACTAATAGAGTACCTAAAATGTAATGTATTGGAGTGAAATGGAAATTTTGAAATTTGATGATTGTTTACAGCCCTTATCTACACTGTTAAGGAACAGTGTTTTTTTTTTCTTCATACTATTTGTTGAACTCTCAGTGTAGGGTTAACCTTATGAGTATAAAGTAAACTGAAAAGAGATCTTTGTAAAAATTAACATCGGGAATTGGAGAGGGAGGAGGAAGAAGGGATGGAGCATGGGTGGGAGGGAGGGTAGGGTGAGAAGTATCACCATGTTCCTAAATTTGAATATATGAAATATATGAAACTTACACACTTTAAATAAAATTTAAAAAAGAAAATAAAATTCATAGAGAAATAAATGTAGTTAACCTTACTACAAATTAATAACATAACTACACTGAGAGAAAAGTTAAGTAAGTTTTTTTTGTTTATTATTTGACAGACAGAGTTAGAGAGTGAGAGAGAGAGGTCTTCCTTCCATTGGTTCACCCCGCTAAATGGCCACTACGGCTGGAGCTACGCTGATCCGAAGCCAGGAGCCAAGTGCCTCCTCCTGGTCCCCCATGTGAGTGCAGGGGCCCAAGCACCTGGGCCATCCTCCTCTGCCTTCCTGGGCCACAGCAAAGAGCCGGACTGGAAGAGGAGCAACTGGGACTAGAACCCAGTGCCCGTATGGGATGCCGGTCCCGCAGGCGGAGGATTAACCAAGTGAGCCATTGCACTGGCCCCCTGAAGTAAGTTTTGAACACAATACTTCAAGTACATATCCTTAAGTAAATATAGAAAGGATTACAAGCAAATAATTATCATATTGGCTATTCACACTGGTATGGATTCTGTAACTATTTAACTGAAAAAAACAGTAAATATATTGATAATGGTTAGAGTTAGGATTCTCATGGTTGCAAAAGAAAATAAAAATATGTACTGGGAAAAATTTGATGATAAACATTTATGTTGGACTGAAACTGGGTATAACAGAATGAACTCACAGATTTTAACATAAGGATATGGATCTGGGGTGTCTCAATCTCAGCACTACTGATGTTTGGAGTTGGACACTTTATGTTGTGGGACTGTATTTTATGGGATACTTACTAGCATCTCTGGAGTGTAACTATTTGCTATCAGTAACAATCTTCAATAATGTCAATAAAAACCCAAAAACATCTCTAGATATTGCCACTGTTCTCTGGGTGGTGAAATAACCCCCAGAAGAGACTACTGACATACAGAAAATGTGGACATATTTGAGGGGTCTTCAAATACTTCCTGGAAACTATTATGAAGAAAACTGCATGAACTTAAACTAAAATAAACTTGTTTTTAAATTTCATTTTCCATGTAAGCAAATATATATTTATTTATGTTTGCATTTATAGACAAAAAGTCTTCAAAGTTATGGAAATATACTTATTATTTTAAAATATGTATATAGTTCAAAATGTTTTTGAACTAAAATCAACTTGTCTTTTTAAATTCCATTTTCTCACATTTTGAAGTACCCTCAAAACTGCATGCATACCATATACATACATAGTGCACATATATAATTTTTGCGATCAAGAAAATATAATAAAAAATACAGTTAAGAAACACTACAATCAACGTTTGCACCCCACCTCCTGACCAACCCCACACTGCCTGCCTTTTCTTTCTAAGGATCAAACCATTAAAGGCATTCTCACCAAGGAAAAACTTACCCTTCATTTCCATCTTGCACAGTAAATCAATGCCAATAGCTAATGCAATATTTGCAATAAGGCAGGCAGACACCTTCTGAGTGAGGCTCATCACTGCATACTGGTCTATGATGATTACTTGTGGAAAGAAAGTGAGAAAATAGAAGAAACCTGTAATGGCAACAGCCAAGGAAGCTGAAATGAAGAAAAATATAGTCAGTTTATACAAGCTAAAGAAGTTAGAAATAGAAATACCTGCATTTTATTACCAAGGAACCAATGCTTCTCTACATACATATAAAATCTAAAAAAGAAGTAAAATTTTGTTCATTACCACATCACTGGCCTCTGGTACAGTGTCTAATACTTAGTAGGTGCTCAATAAATATTTTTGTTTGAATGAAAAAAATACATGAATGATGTAAGGCAGAAACTTTGGAATTTATCTTCCTTCTTCTATTACTGCAAATATCTTATCATTGAAGGAAGTGCCTACCTATCTGTTTATAATTTTTATTTTTGTTCATCAACATTGAGCCTAACAAATTAGATGTACAATACTGGTGGTTCACATTATATGAAGATACCCATATCATTTCTATTAATTTTTAATTTTCATAGACAAAAATGAAAATAATGCTTTCCTACATACAATTTTTGTCTTGTTACTTTTCAAACCCATGTTTATGATACTCTAAAAAGAGTATCTAAGACAATAGAATCAGTATTACAGAAAACCACATGATTTAAAGTACTATGTATTATAAGAATTGCATTATTTTAGTCCAGTGAGAACAGAAAAAAAGAACCTAGATAATCTTTTTTTTTTTCTTCAAAGATTTATTTATTGGGGCCAGCACCATGGCGTAGTGGGTAAAGCCAACACCTGCAGTGCCAGCATCCCATATGGGTGCTTGTTTGAGTCCCAGCTTCTCCACTTCCGATCCAGCTCTCTGCTATGGCCTGGGAAAGCAGTAGAAGATGGCCCATGTCCTTGGGCCCCTGCATCCACGTGGGAGACCAAGAAGAAGCTCCTGGCTCCTAGCTCCTAGCTCCTGGCTTTGGATTGGCACAGCTCCGGTGTTGTGGCCAACTGGGGAGTGAACCAGAGGATAGAAGACACCTCTCTCTCTCTCTCTCTCTCTCTCTCTCTCTCTCCCTCTCCCTCTCTTTCTCTTTCTCTCTCTCTAGAGCCTCTCTTCTCTCTGTGGGTAACTCTGACTTTCAAACAAATAAATAAATCAGTTACAGAGAGGAAGAGGCAGAGGCAGAGAGAGAGATCTTTCCATTGGTTCACTCCCATAAGACTGGGAATAGGGAAGAGAGGAGGAAGAAGGGTGGAAGCATGGGTAGGAGGGAGGGTAGGGTAGGAAGAATCACTATATTCCTAAATTTGTATATGTGAAATTTGTATACCTTTAAACAAGAAGAAAAAATAAAAAATAAAAAATAAAATTAAAAAACTGATGAAAAACATCGAGCTATGGAATCAAAGCAAGAAACACTTGGGAATTTACCCCCAACAAAATGAAATCAGCATATGAAAGAATTTAGCTTTACTTCCTTGTTTATTGCAGCTTAATTCACAATAGCTAAGATACAGAGTCAACCCAGATGTCTATCAACTGACTGTATAAAGACACACACACACACACACAAATACTACTCAGCCATTAAAAAGAATGAAATCCTGTCTTGCAACAAAATAGATGCAACTAGAAACTATTATGCTTAATGAAATGTCATTCTCAAAAAGACAAATATCGTATTTTTTTCTCTATGTATGTTTTTTCTCTATGTGACAGTTAATATAGAATATAAAAATGTATAGAAGTGAAATGGACATCCTGTTATATGACTGTTATTTTTAGCCTTTGTTTATACTCCTGTGGAATTATGGTCTTCCTACTTTTTACTTGTTGAATATTACAATTAGTGGGGAATTAACTGTGATTGTAGATTGGAGTAAAATTATGACTTTCTAAAACTAATGAAAAGAAAAGGAGGGAGGGACAGAGGGGAGCTGGGATGGGGAGGGAGGGAAGTATGGTTACTTTCTCAGAACTGTACCTATGAAATACATGAAATATGTTCTCTTTATATTAATAAAAATAAAGATGTATAAAAGAAAAAAAACAATAAAAATTTCTAACAGGACAGACAGAAAAGTACACCTAAATTTATCATACCACAAGTAGTGAAAACTCAAGTCAAAAGTATCCATGGCCGGCGCTGTGGCTCAATAGGCTAATCCTCCCCCTGCGGTGCCGGCACACCGGGTTCTAGTCCTGGTCGGGGCGCCAGATTCTGTCCTGGTTGCCCCACTTCCAGTCCAGCTCTCTGCTGTGGCCCGGGAGTGCAATGGAGGATGGCCCAAGTCCTTGGGCCCTGCACCCACATGGGAGACCAGGAGAGGCACCTGGCTCCTGGCTTTGGATCAGTGCGTTGCGCGGGCTGCAGCGTGCCAGCCACAGCAGCCATTGAGGGGGTGAACCAATGAAAAGGAAGACCTTTCTCTCTGTCTCTCTCTCACTGTCTACTCTGCCTGTCCAAAAAAAAAAAAAAAAAAGTATCCAGTAAAGTATAAGAAAAAAAGTATAAGAAAGTATAATTTTCTTTAAAGCTAATGAAGATCTATAAATAAAACTAAATGCAGTCATTCTTGACAGGGGCAAACCCTTTCTGGGTAGAAAAATAGAAAACTCTTTTATTCCTTGGCAGTAATTTCATAATCTGGGTACCAAAAAGCATGAGAGGAGAAATTCTGATGAAACAAGGAGAAATCAGTCAAACCTTTGATAATGTATGTGCTGATACAGGGACTGAAAGAGCCTTAAGAACAAAATTACTCCTATCCTTCTACCAATTCTCAATCTTTTTCAATTTATTTTTCATATTTAGGACTATGACCCATCCTGAATGAATTTTTTGAGTATGATGGCATTTATAGTTCACATTTCAGTTCTTCCCCATAGACATTCAATTGACCCAAGCCTATTTATTAGAAAGAATATATTATCCATTGCACAAAGCAGTATGTTCTTCATAAAATGGTGACCATTTATATGTAGATCTGTTTCTGAATTCTCTGTTCTACTGACCTCTGTAGTAGTCCTTTTAGGAAAAGCACATTGACTCCATTTCTGTAGCTTCATAGTACATTTTGGCATCTGTTAGCAAAAAAAAATCCTTCCAATTTTGCTTTTATAAAATAACATAGCCTATTCTTGACCTTTTTTATTTCCACACAACTTTGGAATCAGTTTATCATTTTCATATACATAAGCAAACATATGTATATACTTGCTGAAAATTTTAATTCAGATTATATGGAGAGAACTACTAACTTACTATTGAATCCTCAAACTTAAATAACCAAGAATATTTGCTAGTTTTCAGAATAAAGATCTTGCACATTTATTTGTTCCCAGATATCTTGTATGTGATGCCATGACAAGTGGTATTTTTATATTTCCTTTTCCAAAAGTAGCTAATATAGAACATCAAATTTTTGTTTATTATAGCTTAATTTCAGATGTCAACTTGACTGGGTTAAGGACTACCTAGAAAACAAAATATTATTTTGAGTGTCTGTGAGGATGTGTCCAAATGAGATTGGCCAATGTGTCTGAGTGGACTAGGTAGAGAAGTCCCACCCTCAGCGTTGGTGGACACCACTAATTGCCTTGGTGGGACTGGAGAGAACAAGAAAGAAAATGGCCCCTCAGAGAGCCATGCTTTGGATATCAGTTGTTGGCCTTAAAACTCCAAGACCCACCAACAGCCCTCTTGTTGGTACTGAGCTTCCTGGTTCTGAGGGTCTTGGACTCAGACTAAGCCATTCTATCGACATCCCAGGGTCTCCAGCCTGCAGAAGTCCCTTACTGAGGGACTAATAAATCTCCAAATAAATCTCCTAGTAAATCTCCCTTCATATATCTGTGTGTATATATGTATATATATATACATATATATATACATATATATACACATATATGTATACATACATATACATATATGTGTATATATATACATATACATACATTATATATATATATATACACATCCTACCACTTTTCTCTCTCTAGGGAACCCTAATGCATCTATTGACCATGTATTTTTGTGCCTTCGTTACAATATTAATTCTAATAGTTTATAGGTTCTTTTGTAATCATGTTCATTACAAATCTTTATACATTTATGACTTTCCTTGCATTATTATTAACTGAGATCTCTAATCTTCTCTATATTGTTCCAATGTTAGTATATGTGCTGCTGTAGTGAGCACAAACTGAGATCTCTATTACAGTGTTGAACAGAAAGGGTAACAGCTGACATCCTTGTGTGACTTCTGGGCTTAGGAGGAAGTTGTTCAATATTTTAGCATCATTGTGATGTTTACTTTACAATATTTATAGAAATTCCTTATCAGATTAAGGAAATATCCTTTCATTCTTAACCTCATAGGTTCATCCAGATATTGACTATTTCCTGTATCTTTCATTCCTTCCTGCATTCTCATGCTCTACTCTGGCAATGTATTTTTTTCTACCAAAAAGCTCCCTCTACTGTTACTTCTCTTAGAAAGAACAGCCAAATTCACTCATAATTTCTTAATTTCCCTGCATTTTTGAAAAATATTTTAAAATGTATTATTAATATCTTACTAACAATTGTATATATTTATGGGGCACAGTGAGATATTTTGATATACACATACAATGTGACATTAAATCAAGTTAAGTAACATATCTATTACCTCACTTACCTGTCATTTTTGGATACAGTTGAAATTTATTTTCTTATTTTGAAATATATATTGGGGCTGGAACCGTGGCGCAGTGGGTTAATCCTCCGCCTGTGGTGCCAGTATCCCATGTGGGCACTGGGTTCTAGTCCTGGCTGCTCCTCTTCCAGTCCAGCTCTCTGCTGTGGCCTAGGAAGGCAGTGGAGGATGGCCCGAGTGCTGGGGCCCCTGCACTCACATGGAAGACCAGGAGGAAGCACCTGGCTCCTGGTTTCGGATCAGCATAGCTCCAGCCGTTGTGCTCATTTGGGGAGTGAACCAACGAGGGAGGACCTTTCTCTCTGTCTCTCCCTCTCTCTGTAACTTTACCAATCAATTAAATAAATAAAAAATCTTAAAAAAAGAAATGTATATTATTTGACAATTATTATAGTAATTATTATTGTGC